TATTGACCTCTTTCAGGTATTCCCATTGTCCCACATCCTCCTGAGAGGGAATATTTGCCTTTCGTACTGGTATTTTGTTTTGTGAATAAACAGGTGGAAGTGCTACATACTGGTTACTTTCTAGACCACATATTTCAAGGTCACATGCAACAGATGTTTTAACTGACTCCTCTTTATTCATTGTTCGTAAGAGTATCTTCGTGTTTGCGTCCAGTCACTTGAAGCTGCTGTAGAATGGACTCTGTGCAAAAGGTAGCCGTACTACCTGGGTCCAGAAAGGCGTATGTTGTTATGATGGTATTACCCTGTTTTGTTTTCACCTTCACAGGAACGATAGCCAGGGTGCCTTCAGGCTCACCGGCCCCAATATCCTCCTCCCGTGAATCATCTTTATCCATATCCACTAAAGCATTTGCAACAGTCTTTACCTTTCCTTTGCCCGACTCGATATTACTGAAATGCAACAGAGTGGGGTGTGTGAGATTGCACTCTTTGCAGGTATGTCTTTGTTTGCATCCTTTACTCATGTGGCCCTTTTCTAAACATCCAAAGCAAAGTCCTTTGCTTCTGAGGAATTCCAACTTCTCTTTGTGGGTGTTTTTGAGAATCTGATTGCAAGCAGAAAGATGGTGTTCTCCTTTACAGTAGATGCATCGGTTTGATTGGGATGTGTCACTGTGTCGGTTACAGTTTTCTTTCTGAGGTAATGGGGATACACTAGTGGCAAAACCACTTTTATATAACTCTGGAGATCTCGGTTTGAACCTTGCGCTGGGAGTAGCAGGAACGAATGTGTAGCTTGTCTTTGCTGATGTATTTGGAATTTCCTTTAAGTTTCCGAACACTGGATGAGAAAGGATTCTAGCATGATGGTCGACAAACTTCACTAGATCTTCAAACTTAACTCTTCTGTTGTTTCCATCTTGTATGTTACAAGCTTTAGCTCTCCAGTTTTCTCTAAGCTTATATGGGAGTTTAGAAAGAACAGCTCGCATGTTGATTGGGTGATCCATTTCCTCCATGTATTCCACACTATCCATTGTATTGAGACATCCATTCAGAAACACAGCAAAGGTTTTTAAAGCTTGTGGATCCTCAGGTTTAATAGATGGCCAATTGAGAGCCTTGTCGATGTAGGCTGTCGCGATAAGATATTCATCTCCATAATGATGCTTCAACAACCTTTTTGCTTCCGTGTATCCTTTGTCAGATTGTATATATTGGCAACTGCGCACAAGCTCTCTTGGTTGGCTAATAGTGCATTGCTCCAAGAAGTAAAGCCTGTCCTTACTGATTTCTGTTTTCTCTTCAATACCATGCTCAAATGCTCTTATGAAGGACCGATAGTCCAAAGGGTTTCCGTTGAAGGTAGGAATGCTGAGCGGGGGTAATGAAGAAAGTTTCTGCTGCTTTACCATTGTTTCTGTTATTATGGTCTGTTTTTCCATGATGCTTATTAAGCCGTTCATATTGCCCTCTCCCTTGCTAGAAGACGTGCTGGATGAAGTTGAACTTTCAGGACGTTGTGGTATGAATTGTGTTTCACTATTAACGGCATTTGCAGTTTTATTGATGTTTGGTGTATGCTTGTTAGCATTCAAATGAGCATTTTCTTGCTCTAATGCTGTACTCACAAACAGTGAGTGATCCAAATATTCATTCATTCTGTCTCCTGCTTGGTACATGCCTTCATGAGAATCCTCCATTCCTTTGATTACACTTAATTTTGCAGTGTTTGCTGCAATATCTGTTTCAAGTTCCAGCTGTTCCTTTCTTTCCTTCAAACCGGCTTCCTCCCTTTCCAGTGCTTGCTTCTGAGTCAGCCTAGCAGCTCGTGCTAACAATTCTGCATTTCTATTTTCCAACTTTATTTTAGCAGATGTGATAGAAGACCGAGAGGATCTCCTTGAACTTTGTGAATGAACACTCTTTACGTTTGAAATACTGTCCCGAGGTGCAACACTCGTATGTCCTTTTATTTTTGTCTGGACAACATTGGACACGGGAGCATCAGCGATCCAGTTTAAGACCTCCTGATTAAACTCTTCCAAGGCAGCTGCTTTGGGGTTATACCACTCATCCTGATCCATTTCTTTCTCCTCCTCAGTGGACATTAAAGCTTGAACAGAATCATTTAACTGTTCCATTTCTTTGTGTAGATGTGTAAACTCACTTTCCCTTTTCGACTTAACCAGTTCCACATTGCAGACATTTTCCATTAATTGTCTGATTTCATTTCTTTTCCTTGTCAATGCACCCAATTTTGCACTCCTTGATGATTTCAGTCGTTTGAGCCTTTCCATATACACACAGTCAATGTCACTTTCCAAGCTTTCCAAGTCTGCCATTTTTGTTCAAGACAACACGTTTATTCCTTTTGAATTTTACTTCATTGTTTGTGGACTTTCATTGTCTTGCCTTGAGTTGAGACGTTTCCAACAGTCTTTGAACGCTCCACAGCAGTGACGCGTTACAGATGTAGTTGGGGGAGGAGTGATTGTTGCCTTCAGTCATTCACGTTTCACAACACCGTCGTTCTAGGAAGTAGAATCCGTAGTAAAACGAAGGCGAGTATTTGACACGCTGTTATGAGTTCTTGTTTTCAAAACATACGTTTCCACGGACCAGCGCTCATCAAGCTGGGTTTTTTGACGAATAAAAGAGCCTTCTTTCCACCTTTCTTAAGCTCCTTTTGTTCTTTGGTTTTAGCGCCTGGCCGACGCGCTCACACATCACTCAGAGTCACCTTTCTTTTGGTATATTTATTTCCAAGTTATCCTTCTCTGCAGTGCAATGCAGCGGTCAAAAAACCGTGTGGCTTCACAACCAAACTAGAACACAGAGTATCATCAGCAGGATTCTTTTAACCAGCTGAGGCAATCGCAGCACCAATCAGCCGCTCCGCCCAGCCGTGGCTGCGGATCATGATCACTTGACACCAATCAATTATACTCCATTACATACATTAAATGATTAAATAATACAAATAATAAATCAACGTTTTGGCTCCTACAGTACCAGTATCTCAAAATTGTGCCCAAGTATAGTACTTGTTAAGTTTATGAACTTAGTTACTTTACACCAGTGGCTATACTGATATAAAGACTAAGCCATGCACAGAGGCATGAAAATACATTTTGAAAATGCTCAACAGTACTGGCAAAATTATAAACTGACTGCTGCAATTAGATGTTCCTCTTTGTGCTGTGGTCATAAAACCCCCAATGGGTCGCGCCGTGGTCTGCTTCAGATTATCTTCTCCTTCCAGAGGTCACGCCTGTCTCTGACCTCGTGTCTTGCGTTTTATTTTATTTTCTTCTTCTGCAGCACCAAGCAGAGTATAGAAAAGGAGGGGATTTTGACTAGAAATAATTTCAAACAGTTAAATAAAGAATGTTGAACTATATTTAAAACTGTAATTGAACTTCAACTCATATCCATTATCTGATTCCAGTGGCCAGTTGGAAACAGATAATGACAAAGTTTTCATTTTGCATCAATCGTGCAAAAAGGTTCAATCACCATTGTGTCTAAGTCTTGTCTTATCTGCTTTGTTTCGGAATGTGTTCAATACATTAGGTTATTTTATTTTCATTATTACCATACAATACATAGATTAAGAATAAATGAAACAAATAATATAACATTGACCTATTTGAGCAGACAGATGACCCGCAGTGATGCCTCTGAGGTTCCCGGGTGTAAAACAGAGGCTTTTTTGCTATTTATTTTCCTTTTGCGGAAATTTAGATTCATTTTACCTTGGCTGTGGACTGATTCATTTTATTAGTTGTTACAAAAACATGCACAAGACGGCAGGTATACAAACAAACACGAAACAATTATACAAACAAACATGAACCCGCAACAAATATCAGGTGACAGCTAAACTCATCCAGTTTAATTTTAATCCGAATTAGGGAAACTTCAGCGGGGGTAGGGAAATATCAGTACTTATTTTTACTTATTGTTTTTTTTTAAATTTATTATTTTTTTTAATTTATTTTTTTTAAACAAAATCCAATTCAATAATCCGTAAATTTATTAAACACAGTGTGAATGTAATATTCTGCCACCACCCTTCCCATTTAATAGCTCAATTTAGTTCTTGAGCTTATGGTGTGATTAACAAAAAATACAAGTCTGTGTTGTTAAACATTAATTCAGTTGATGAGAAATAAACTACCTTATTCTCAATCAAAACCACTATGCAAATGTAGTGGTAAAACTGCTCAACCGACCGAGAGCAGAGATATTAATTAATTTAATTAATTCTAAGAACGGAATCTGCTGAAGAGTAATAACCACATTATTCTCAATCAACAACCACTATGCTAATTTAGTGGTGCTCTGCCCTCCCCGATCCGGAGAGCAGAGACTTTTAATGAATTCAGTACCCTTTATTTTAACAACAGCCAAATTCAACAACCCCTCAGTTTATGAAACACAGCGTGACGTAATATTTCGTATCACGTTTCCCGTTAATAAGAGTTCTGTTTAGTTCCAAAACTCATAATGGTGCGATTTAAGAAGATACGACACTGTGCTTTGTTTATCCCCGTGTGTGCTGCTCCCCACAGGGGGGGGGGAGGGGAATTACCCACACCCTGCACCCCACAGCAGCAACAGGAACATTTCGAGGCGAGTTGATTTAACTAGTTAAACCGTTGAAATCTCCAGAATTCGGCGATTCGTTTCAGTACAAATCTTTACATTGCTTTTAAACCGAAGTTCCACATTACTGATGCCCTCTTTAAGGTCTCTCCGAATATTTGCCGTGCACACACACAGAGGAAACCAAAAATATTGCATCTATCTGTTCCACAGGTAATTTTATACCGTCAATCACAGAGTCTGGCGAGGCAATGTCAAAATATAGATTTGAAATTACACTCACCAGCTCGACGATTTGTTGGTAACCGTTCGCGACGCCAATTGTGAAGTTAAAACTTCTTTGCAGCAATGTTGAGCCAATCATGAAATGAGTGAAACTGGATTCACCTGTCAATACACTGATATTTATTGAGAGCCTCAGCGGCCGGAGAGTTCACAGCATATCACAGTTCTCCTGTAAGATACCAGCAAACTCTGAAGCCTAAAAACGCCAAGAACCCAACTATACAGACAAGAAGAGGAGGGCCCTAAAACACGCGGGTTTTCCTTTAATGCATGCCAGATGTCGAGACAAAGACTCGTTGCATTGTAACCCCACATGGGCCAAGCTTCTCCCCCACAAGACATCAGATGACCTCTTGACCTGTGTCTTCCTGAGAAGCTATGGATCACATTACAGGCAGGAATACACTTTAACCATTAAACAGATTCCCGAGGACAGTTCACTAAACTCTATATACTTTAACAAGACCAAAATATTCCTTTACAAGGTCACCAAGGTCCCGCAGCAGATGAGGCTCCTTGTTGGTAATTCTGGAGAACTGTTCTAGCCTATCAAACATAGCCTTTTCTAAGGCCTCAGGAGATCCATAACACTCTTGAAGTCTCTCCCACACGTTGTTCAGACCGAGGGAAGGGTAGTTAATATGCACTGCTCTGAGGCGTTTTGCATGTTGTGAGGATTTCTCGCCTAACCACTTAGTCAACAAGTCAAGCTCTTCACTAGCTGTTAGATGTAGACCTTGGATGGCATTTTCAAATGAGGATTTCCATGCCCAGTAGTCACCTGGCTTGTCGCTAAACCTTGTAAGACCTCCAGTGAGCAACTCACGTCTAGCTAGAAATCTGGGAAGGTCAGAAATACTTGAGGTTTATTGTGGGTGAATCAGAGGACTTGACCATTGTGGTTGTTCATGCACTTAGGTAGCTGGGATGCTCTGTCGTTTGTGTTGTTCTTGCCAGGCATCAACGTGTATGGAGATCTCGGGTCAGGCATTTCAACTTCCTGCTTGAGTTGGTTAAATGTGGAGTCCGTTGGAGCCTCGTTAGGCTTCAGGGCTGCATGTGGAGTTGATTTCTCATTTTGGAGAAATTGGTCATTCACATACTCGCTTGTGCGTTCTAATGGGTGAAATGTCTGTGGGAAGCGAACGCTTATGCGGTCTTCTTCTATTTCGCTTGCCGCAGCCTCGTACACATTAGCTTCAGCGAGAGCTGCCTCTGCATCGCGTTCCTGATGAAGCGCTTCCAATGTAGCCTCCAGACGTGTTTCTTCCACTCTGTGTTCTGCTTGTTTTACTCTCAATTCGATTTCCTTTTGAGCATAGGCCGCTCTGGCTCGTGCTGCCTCCGCTCTAGCCCGTGCATTGACCGCTGCCAAGCTGGCAGATGACTTACTGGAGCCCTTTGATGATTTTGATGCGTGAGTGTGGACTGATTCATTATCTCCTGGCTGAGACATGTTTAGTTTCTTAGGGAAGACTGACGTGTGTATCCACCTGATACTTTGATGATGTAGATGAATCTGTTTTTTTACTGTTCTGCCCTCACTGTCGTTATGAGTACAGATATGCAGACAGATAACTCCTCGACAAGTGGCAAGCGTTTATCTTCTTTAATAAGATGTTTACATCCACAAGTCAACAGAGTAAAACTGAAAGAAACACAATATACATTGAAATTAGACACTTAGCTGTGATGCAGACATATATAATACAACGGTTAATTACGTCAGAAACATCACAACATATGCATATCAAATGTTTACATGCAAAAGTGCTGTGTAATACACACTACAAAACATGTGCTAACCATACATCAAACATCAATGAATAGCAATCTACTTAAACATTGAAACCTCAAAATAATCGTTGATATCCTCTTAAGAATACGTACAAAAGCCAACAATACTTACAAGCAATGCTTTCAACAACATAGCAAAGAAGGATGGATGCAGATTCAAACAATGATATTTCTCCTCTCTGTCCCTTTCAACCACGACTCACATGTGGGTATCACTTCCTATGTTTTTAATGTAGGTCTTTCTCATTGGCTGGTACTAACAAAGAAGAAGAAACAAAAAGCAACAGCACCACCTGCTGGCTGGAGTAAGACAGCGTCTTAGACAGCACAGTAACAGTACAGAACTGTGTTAGCGTGTTAGACAAAAAGTGTGTATGTGTGTGCGTCTGTGTGTGTGTGTTAAGGCTGTGCAATTAATCATATTTTAATCGCAATTACGATTTTAGCCTGCCACAATTACGAAAACAACATAATCGGAAAAAACGATTATTTTGCTTTGCTAGGTTGTGACAGTGCACCACAACATATTTGATCTAATGAATTTTTTAGTAATGTATCATTTATTTAATTAATTTTTGTATTGGTTTTTCAGTTGAATTATACGTTCAGGGTAATCAACAGTTAAAAATATACTGTTCAAATTATTATTTGTTTTAAAGTTCAATAAATTGATGTTTTCAAAGTCAATGAATAATCATATTTAATAATCGTGATATTAATTATTGACCAACATAATCTTGATTATTGCCATAATCGAGCAGCCCTAGTGTGTGTGTGTGTGTGTGTGTGTGTGTGTGTGTGTGTGTGTGTGTGTGTGTGTGTGTGTGTGTGTGTGTGTGTGTGTGTGTGTGTGTGTGTGTGTGTGTGTGTGTGTGTGTGTGTCTCTGAGAGAGAGTGACAAGAGCTATATTCAGAGCTCTGCTGCCTTGGCTACACTATTTCATCGTTGCTGTTGTATGATTGGTGTTTAGCTGCGGTATTTAGCGTTTTACCGCTTTTAGGGTTGACGTAGACCCAAACTTCGCCCCGGAGGTCCCCCGGTGTTGTTGCGGGAGCTGCTGCACTAGCTGCTGCTGCACTAGCTAACGCTACATTAGCTGCTGCTGCACTAGCTAACGCTACATTAGCAAAACAAACACTAATTTATTTTGCAAAAGGTGCAGCGGGCTTCAAACACGTTCCCTCCACTGGTTTCAACCAAGCACTAAATTAGATGTTTTCCAACCAAATACGATTGAACTTACACTTCCCCATATGTATTTGTAAGTAGATTCGAAGATAGGCTACATGAGCTGAAGCTTGGTTGCTAGGTTACTAGCTGGGTGTTCTCCAATAAGGGGCCGGGGGAAACAAAGTTAGTGATTACTGGTTCCATGTTGATTTAATTCAATACAAATTGTTGGGGGGAACTGAAAGGCTATTACCGTACTGCAGTGACCACCAACTGGCGGCCCGCGGGCCACATCCGGCCCGCCAGACATTCTCATCCGGCCCGCACGACGGGGGTGACTGCGGCGTGGTTCGCAGTAACCACTGTGTGCAGTACCAGAGTCCAACAGAGAGGCAGCAGCTGCGGGACAGTAGACTGCGTACTGCAAAACCTTCCCTGAAGAAGAAGTGATCCTTCGTTCTGAAGAGTCTGGTTTGTGCGCTCCGCACCACAGCAGTTATGGAATGCCATTTAAGCCAATATTAAATAAATAAATATATACATAAATAATTAAATAAATACATATATATAAATATGCCTATGAAGTATTCAATTCAGGTTTACGAAAGTAACTGTAATCAGATTACTCGTTTTTCAAATGTAACGCCAGTTAGCCTACTTGATTTTTGTATTCTGATTACGTAACGCCGTTACATGTATTCCGTTACAACCCAACCCTGCTTCTAGGCTACTGTCCCGCAGCTCCTGCCTCTCTGTTGGACTCTGTCGCAGCAGGGCTTCTGCTTATGGAATGCCATTTAAGCCAATATTAAATAAATAAATATATACATAAATAATTAAATAAATACATATATATATAAATATGCCTATGAAATAAATTATAAAATAAATAAATTAGGCAATAAATATGTATACATGTACATTTAAATACACATTTCTTTATTTCATTGGACTTTTATTTCATAATGACACATGTATTTATTTCAAGAGACTTGTATTTCATAATGACACATTTATTTATTTCAAGAGACTTGTATTTCATAATGACACATTTATTTATTTCAAGAGACTTGTAGTTCATAATGACACATTTATTTATTTCAAGAGACTCGTATTTCATAATGACATATTTATTTATTTCAGATGACTTGTATTTCATAATGACGCGTTTCTTTATTTCAAGAGACTCGTATTTCATAATGGCTTATTTCATGTGACTTGTATTTCATGATGAGACATTTCCATTCCTTATATGCAAATGAACGGGGCGTGGTTAGCTCACAGGTCCAGAGACCCAGACCAAAGCAACAGCACCACACTGACTACTCGAGAAGAGGAAGAAAATGGAGGAGAAGGACTATAAGGCAAACTACTAAATTCTCAGTCAGACATCGCATGTAATCTGATACTCTAAATTTCACCCGCCAGAAATGTTCGCTTCTTCCTCTTCGGTGTAAATTGTCCATTGGCAAACCAGTTGACTTCTTCTTCTCTCGGTTTTTTGGCGGATTGCAAACAACTTTAAGGTGCATACCGCCACCTACTGTACATGAGTGTGAATCATCATATCATTCCATCTCTTAACTCATGGACGTATCTATGATCTAATCCAAAAATAAATAAATTAGGGCTGTCAAACGATTACAATTTTTAATCAGATTAATCACAGCTTAAAAATTCATTAATCATGATTAATCACCATTCGAACTATGTCCAAAATATGTAATTTATTTATGTATATTGTTGTGGGAATGGAAAGATAAATTAAAGAAGGCGGATATATCCATTTAACATGTTTATTGTAAACAATTTCTGTGTGTCAAAATGAAAGAGAGCACCTATCAATCATCAAACCGTGGGGTCTTAATTCATTACGTATTGATTTCTATCTTACTTAGAAACTTCAGGAAAGTCGACGGGGGGGGGGGGGGGGGGGGGGGGGGGCGCTAGTGGAGTGGAGTACTTCGTGACCACAGAGTGTGAACGTTGTGATCAGCTGTTTTAGCGCAGTTCTCCAGTGAAGGGAGGAGTCTCCCTCCGCAGCCGGTTGGCGTAGTTTTGGCACAATTCCGTTGTACAGACCGACGTTAACAGCAACCCTGTCTGTGCACACGGAGACCGACTCTGTCGTCCGGTGATCTAACCGCCTTCTGGAAAAGCTTCACAAGTACGTCGGTACGCATATGCGCTTTGTGACACAAGTGACGGTACGCATTTCAGATTACGCACATAACCTGCGTACCAGTTATGTGTTACCTGTACTACAGCTAAAGTATTCTCCGTCGGGACTTCCTGCAACAACACCACGCCGTTATCTTGATTCTGATTGGCCAGAAGACATTATCAAAGATGTTCTATTGGGAAGACGATCAATACGTGACAAAAGTTTTCAAAACCGTTTCTGGTCTTCCGTATTTCCAGACAAGTGGCTGCTGAAATCAATCTTACTTACTGTCTGTGCAATTTACTCCGCGCGAGTTGGCGGACTTTATTTTGCTTACTTTAACATCATTTTTCATGGTGGGGCTAAGCCATTTCTTGGTATGGGTGTAGCCTACCCCAGCCATACCCTGTCTTTATAAATATTTGTCTGCTGGCATACCAGCAGACCAGCATTTATCTATCACCAGCTTATGTTAGTATTAAATATACAATGTATTCTGGTAACTATCAAAATAAAGACATTGTATAGTGTTCATAACAGTATTTTTATTTAATAAATTATACTTAATACAATAATATTACAAAAAAAACCTACATCTAAATAAATATATCATCTAAAAAAGATGCATTTGATTTAAAAATAACAAATATAATTCAAAATGTAAACAGCAACAAAGAAATTATAAACATTTTTTTTCTTTTTCTTGTTAATATCCATTATCTTCTCTGTTATGTATCTTCCGGTCTTTGCCAATCTGGCCAGCATTTCTTGGTCCTCCACGTCTTTCTCGTGCAGCCACTGCTTGAAGTAAACTGAAAATAAGAAACAACAATGTTTTAACAAATCTTATTCAATTATGTGATGATAGAACTGCAAACAGAATAGCTGTAACTTTAACAAAATAAATAACTGTTTCCTCTAATCATTAACCCATATTTGTATCATTGAGTTAACTCCGTGTGTTGCTGCTAGCATACATAATATATACCTGACGTGGAAACGTTACTCGTGGATGGGGCTACAGAGCTACTAGAAAGACAGTCGAACCCGGTGCATTCCTCCGTCTGAATGTGGAGCACTTTTGCTAAATGTTTAGACAAATAGCTTGTGTTACCGCCCTTACATGCTAAATTCTTATTGCACTATTGGCAACGAGCATTTTCCACCTCAAGACCAAGCCCCCAGGAAGTGTACTACAATTTCCTTATCAGTCTGTGACGTCGACCGGCCCAGAAATACTTTTTCCCATTGACTAACATTGGGAAAGAGACATCTGTAACTCGGTGGATACTTTTTTTGAAACTAAATAAATGGTAAATGGTAAATGGACTGTACTTATATAGCGCTTTATCCAGTCTTTACGACCCCTCAAAGCGCTTTACATACTACATGTCATTCACCCATTCACACCCATTCATACAGAGCAGTACCACTTGCTCTAGGACCTAACATTCACACACCGTTGGCCATGCCATCGGGAGCAACTCAGGGTTAAGTATCTTGCCCAAAGATACATCGACATGTTGGCTGCACGGGCTGGGATCGAACCCACAATCTTCTGGTTGAAAGACGACCGCACTCCCTCGCAGCCACAGTCGCCCTTAATAAACTACCCAGTATGAACTATTGTATAGCCCTAGAATCATTAAGTTCTTAAAGTTGTAAAATGCACTAAAAGCCGAATCTAGATTTATTCTCTCTCCATTCTTTCTAGTGAGCCGAGAGTGTGTGCTCGGGGGGCGGGGCTTAAGGGGCGCATGCTCTGTGAGCGCACAAACGGGTTATTCTGCTCTGACAGCCAGGCATGACGGGTAATCTGTGACGTTTCGCTCTCTCAAAAGTTGGGCCATTTTGACTTCATGCGCCAATGAGCAGCTCTCATAGGAAAGAACGAGGCCCCTCCTCCGATGCTGTATCCAGTTCTTATTAAACATCCATGCTCAAGACGGGTAACATAACTACCCTCGGGGCGCTTAGTTCTCTCCGCCATGTGTTTGTGTGCGCACGTGTGTGTGTGGGTGTGTGTGTGTGGGTGGGTGGGTGTGGGTGTGTGTGTGTGTGTGTGTGTGTGTGTGTGTGTGTGTGTGTGTGTGTGTGTGTGTGTGTGTGTGTGTGTGTGTGTGTGTGTGTGTGTGTGTGTGTGTGTGTGTGTGTGTGTGTGTGTGTGTGTGTGTGTGTTGCATGCATGTAGCAGGTTCCCTCGCACACCGACAGGGGAGAGAGATCTCGTCTGGATTGGAAAGATCGAAAATAAATCATAGACGCACTTTGTAGTCTTATTGCATATTAGAAACGGAGTTGCAGTAAGACTGCGATATAATGTTTATGTAGATATAATAAATATGACATCTATTTTTTAAATGTCTCCCGTAAGTTGCAGTAAGACTGCGATATAATGTTTATGTAGATATAATACATATGACATCTATTTTTTAAATGTCTCCCGTAACGATAAAAAGATTGATAACATTGGACGTTAACGGTACCACGGTCTTTAATAATTCAGCCCCGGGGCCCGTTAATACTGGGGCTCGGTACCCATCCCTAGTTTTAATTATTACATCATCAATATTACATTTCAAATAACCAGGTACTTGGTTACCAACACAAAGCGCAAGTGGCTAGTGCTGCTAAGAACATACCTGGTGATGGTGATGATGGTGGCTCTTCGCTGCAGGATCTGGTCGATGTCCTCCTAGCAGAAGCGATTGCCTTCGTCGTTCTCGTCCATGATGGCGGCGTAGGCTCCTTTCCTCAGCAGGTCCTCGATCTCCTTCTTAGAGAACTGCTGGACCGGCTAAAGGCGACGCAGAGAGACATTTACACAAGTGGATTTAGAAAACTCTTTTTGAAAATAAACTAAGCGTACTGCAACAGCGACTGACCCAAAAATGACTTGGCATCTAGAAATATGACAGATTTTCTTTTTCTCACCCCGTTGTTGTTGCCACTCATGCTCTGCAGGACGGGACGGTCCAGCCCGAGCTTCAGACTAGCTTTATCCAGCATTTCCCTCTCATAGTTTCTAGTGATCAGACGGTACACCTCCACCGCCTTAGACTGGCCAAAACGATGACGAACCGAGCTTGAGCCTGAAATAAAAAATTAAAAGAGGGGTCAAAAGAGCATCATGTGCAGCTGCTGTTCAACGTTTTTAAGCATTAAATGGGAAAATAATATACACTTAAAGAACTGAGGGAATAAACGGAAAGACTGTTGTTGTTGTAGCCCTATTGAACTATCTTTAGGACGGACAGAGCAGATATATATATATATATATATAGATATATATTGTACCTGCAGGTCATTTTGAGGGTTTGATAACTGTGATGGTTATTCTCGCGTCCAGGAAAGAGAAGCTTAAAAAGGAGACTAAATGGAGTCTCTGAGATGTTTTCAAATTGGTACTTTAATTAATAAAAAAGGCGCGGTAAACTCACAAACAGGATATTGTCCGACAGAAAAGCAGCTGCCTCTGGCCCTCGCTAGCAGAGAAAAGAGGCCGAACCGCCCAGGTGCTGCTGTTATATAGCTTCTGCAGGCTCCTCCCTGAGGGCCGGCTCTCCGACTATTTAATGTCCGTTGTTACACATATCACAGTATACAGACATTGTACATTCAATATATATCTAAACACTCCTTTTCTCCTCCTTAACTCTTTCATGACTTTCCATTCAACACATTCCAAACGCTGTAATCAACACTCCAAAAAATACAGGAAATCCTTCACAGCAATTCGATTTCCGGTCGCTCCGAATGTTGTGACATGCTACCCACATCTGTAAACGATAACTTACTCAAATAAACTGTACCTTCATTTAATATCCAACAATAATAATATCTCGACGTCTATAGTTGTAGTGTTGAAATCAGTAGGTTTCGGTGTGCAACATCATATCATATCGCTGCTAAATTCACCTCTATAGGAAATGGTATATTAGCCTCATGCTAAATGCTAACCGGAGGTGAAGGATTTTCAGAATAAAAGTCTAACTTTAGGTTTAGGCCCAAAATACATTTCTGACCTCCTGCTAAATTATGAACCATCCAGATCTCTCAGGTCTTCAGGGACTGGTCAGCTTTCTGTCCCGAGAGTCAGAACTAAACATGGTAAAGCAGCGTTCAGTTATTATGCTCCAAATATCTGGAACAAACTCCCAGAAACCTGCAGGTCCGCTGCAACTCTGACTACTTTTAAATCCAGGCTGAAGACTTTTCTTTTTGTCGCTGCTTTTAATTGAACTATTCATATCTTAAACTGCACTGTAACTTTTATCCATGTACTTTTTTCTTTTAATGTTTAATTGACAGCACTGTAACTTTTATCCATGTATTTTTTCTTTTAATGTTTATTTTATTAGCTTTTCTTTTTAATGACTGATTTTAAATGCCATTTTCTTAATCTCTTTCATTTTTTGTAAAGCACTTTGAATTGCCTTGTGTTGAAAAGTGCTATATAAATAAACTTGCCTTGCCTTGCCTTGCCTTGCCTTGCCTAACTGGTTGTGCACAAGAACTTCTGGTTTTTCAGTATAAAACAGCATTTAAACTAAAGGTACATTTAAGGTACATTATGCCATCAAAACATTGATTTTAACTTCTAACAGTCCCTCCTTACACACCTAAAAGGTGTGTATAATACTGAAATCAATGAGTTCTTCATCTGAACTCTGCATAGTACATAACTCATATCAAAAACATACAATCAAAATGGAATGGTTCGAATATCCTCAACTTTACAAAAATACAAAAATACTTTGACTGTGTTCAAACATAAAAGTTTTCCCTTGTGCATAACTTGTAGTGTTAACATTCAATATGGTTCTTCAAAATAGCAGCAATGGCTTGGTATCAGAACATTTCTTCCTCCCTCCTTTCACAGAAACCGTTCTCATAATACACTCAGTGTTAAGGCACTTTTTTTTACAAAGTGAAAATAAACTACCCATTTTAGAATAGTAATGATTCGAAAATACATGAAATCTACCATATAGATCAGTGAAAAATAATAAAAATGAAATAAACTATCTTGGAATAGAATAGAGTAAATTGAAATAAAAATACACTATCTTGTAATAGTATAAGTAAATTGAAATGGATTCACTCCATTTTAGCATTTTATTTTGCTCACTTCTTCACATGATTTCATCATTTAAAGAATCACATCGGCTGGACATTCATTGAACAACCTCATCTCTGAACATCCATATCGTTTAACATCATTCAAACTAAACCATCATTTTCATCAACATCTGTAGTGGGGTGGGCCGTCTTGTTCTGCTAGCATTTGTAACTGTCTCCTCATGAGAAATGTACCCTCCCTCCTTTCATACCATTTAAGGTATGAAAGTAATATGTTCTCTAGAAGAGGCCGTCGTGATCAATCGGTATTTTAGGACATGGAATTAGTGCTACATTTAGGCCTCCCCTGGGCGCCCCTATGCTATCCTTGTACCCTGGAGCCTAAACTCCCCCTGGGACTGGTCTCTTAGCCCTACTGGCTTTGGGGTGGTCTGTTCTAATACAGTGATAAAGTCCCTGAAATGGTGTGAAAACCGGTGGAATATCAATAACTCATTATACTAATTTATTTTCATTTCTGGTCTACTTAAATAACTATGCTAACCCCCTTTAACAGTGTGTGGAACCTTGGGTGCTCTAACAAGGACTTTAAAAACAGAAGTCATTTCATTAATGGTTTGTAGTTCAATTCAGGAATTTTCACTCATGGCAGATATGTTTCTCCTTTTAAATAACATCTCTAAATGTCAGGTCATCACTGATTAAATGGATGAGCATTAGGAGGTGGTGGCACTTGTCTTTTAAAACTCATACTCTGGTGCCGTGCGCTCCCTCTGAAGCTGCAAGTAAGATTTAAAACATCTGCAGGGTGGGTTGAGCAACCCCTTCTCCCTGAACGATATTTGTTGTTGAAAATATGCACCATTAAAATGAGTGATCCAAGGCCCCGCATGTATTACTCCCAATTATACTAGTTTTTTCTAAATTAAAATCTTCAATCGCTCTTTGCCTAGTGTCTTTTTTAAAACTCTACATCTTGGACGACAAACAAATGTTGTTTCCACCTTAACAGTTCTCCTATGGTAATATCCATGCTACAATGGTGAAACCAATACTCTAGATTGGAATACTTTCTTTGGCTTGGTTCTAGCTCTATCTTTAACATTTTCCATTCAAATAAAGATTTGCCTGCTATCTATATTGTAACAAATTAAATCTTCCCCAAATTCTCACATGAATAATAATCTCTATAAGAATAATTTGTTTATATTATGAAAAGATTGAATAATATGTTCTACCCTCAGTGTGTTTTTAGGATTATTTTCTAATGAGTGTGTTTATGTGTAAACTCACTCACTCCCGTGTTCCTTCTCTCCCCCTCTGGTTGTCAAGCCATGACCCCCTCACGTTCTGCTGACCCATGCCAACTCCTCTGGTTCTGTCCTCTCCTCCGTCCTGTCTTCTCCTCAGTCCATCCGCACTTGGATCTTCCCGCTGTAATTCTTTTCAGTGGCCCAACTGCTTTGCATTTCATCTCCTCCTTTTCAGTCTCTACGCTGTTGCATGGAGTGGTGTATTCTGCTCTCATGTCCCACACTCTGCTCTTGTGCCAAATCTCGCGGCTCAGTATGGAACTTCATGTCCTGTTTGAGGGACCGATGAGTTTGCCTCTTTGTCAGCATGCTGGTTTGGTTCTGGATGCCTCAGGTGGAGATGGTTCTGGATGCCTCAGGTGGAGATGGTTCTGGATGCCTCAGGTCGTTGTTGGTTCAGCTCGGGTTGTCTGTCTTTAAACCGGAGGAGGAGGAGTCTCCTGTGGTGAGGTCATTTGTCTGAAGATGGGGTCGTAGCATTCTGACAGGCAGAGAGAGAGAGAGAGATCTCGGGAGGCATTACCTATAGTTAATTATAACATACTGAGGTAAAACATATCCAATCCTCTCCACTCTATTTTCCTAATCTTACCATTTGTCTTAGATGTTAAATGTCATCTAAACCCAATTAATGTCTACTAATGGTTGTGCCATATCCCTAAACATTGTTTCCACCCACTGTAACATGGCTACTCCAAATAACTCTTTCAGGAAACCATTTTCTTCTATAAATTAAAAATACCTACATGTTTCAAGCACCACATATTTCACACACTATAAAAGAACATCCCCATATTTTCTCCATCACTTTAAATCTCACTGTTATTTAGAACATAAGTAACTTCTGTGACTGGACATATCTGCAATGTCACCACAATCTGCTGGGGAATTTTGTTCATAGAGTTTGTACGTACAAAGCTGTACTTGTGGGTTAGTAGCCTGTTTAATCATTTTCAATAATTGTGCTCAGGTCTCCGGTCAGTTGTCCATAAACTTAACAGGGGTGTTTCTGGCACAGACTAAAACATGGATCCAGTGTATTTTTAGATTCCCCTAATCTGTAAATTCACCTACATATCCCAATCACTTAAACCCATCTCATCATTTGATACAAGAACTGCATATATGGGGGGTGAATCATCTTGATTATAACCGCCTCACCTTTGGGACCAAGTATTTCTAACTCCTCCTCTTGTTGCTCAGCTGATCTTTTGGCTCTAGGGATAAGTGAAAGTCTCTGAAACACAGCTGGAGTTCTGTTAGTGATGTGGGCATTCTCTATGAGTGGACTAATGGATCCATGTCTTACTTGATATTGTACTCCCCATCCAACCAGAAAGGTGCCAAGTGTAATGAGCACAATCAACAATGCTATTCTGACTCTTATCCCTAGGGGACCCCACAATTAGTTTGGCTTTGTTCTTGACATCATCTCTATTTTCTCCCTTGGTGTCAGTTACAGAATGTAAATAATGAGTACTATAATAATGTATACAAAAATTGGAGTCTTTTTCAGATGTAAAACAAAAATAGGTTTTCACTTTAGTGTACAATCTGAAAATCTATAGACAATTCATCTTTTGAGCTGTTTCTATCTTAATCTTATTCCTATTTATTGTTTTGTTCCAGCTCTGCCAAATCAGTCCTAACTCCCAATAATGTTCTGGAAGTTGCCAGTGAAGGGTGACAATGTGTGAGGTGGTGTCAATTTGCTCCTTTTTCTTTACCTTAAAACCGGAGCGCGTGTGAAGTTCGTTACAACTTCTCACTGTTCCGTCCACCGGGGATCAGCTCACTGTCTTTTGTGAACTTTCACCCTCACCCAATCACCTGGCCGAACAGGAGTCTCTTCTGGTGTCTCGTCTTGTATATCTGTAGCTTTCTTAGCCTGTGTAGACAAAACTTGGATAATATTACTC